CCCCCCCCCCCCCCCCTTTTTTGTGTATTTCTTTGCACAACCTTGACCATGGTCTGAATGCTCCTCTTTTGATATAATTTTGCATCTATGATATAATTGTTTCCCAATATGTTGTGGTGAATTTTTTGAGTTGATCTTTATGCTATTTTGTGAAATTAACCTTGGTGGGTTCTCTCACTTGCTTCTGTGGCAGAGAAAATAAGAATCTCACTGGAACAGCTCGCTATGCAAGTGTCAATACTCATCTTGGAGTTGGTGAGGAAATATTGTCATTCAACATTTTTGTTTTTTTCAAAGTCAGCCATATTCCTTTTATATAAAACTACTCAACTTGACTGCAGAGCAAAGCAGGAGGGATGATTTAGAATCGCTGGGCTACGTGCTTATGTATTTTCTCAGGGGAAGGTTGCACACATATTCCTTGATGCTTGCTTTTGGTACTCATATCTCTTTGACACACCAGATTTTTACCTGAGTTCATATATCTTTTTCTCAGCCTTCCTTGGCAAGGACTGAAGGCAGGGACTAAAAAGCAAAAATATGATAAGATCAGTGAAAAGAAGATGCTTACTCCAGTAGAGGTATTATTACTAGCTTCCTGTGGCATATTAACGTTTACAAAATATAAATGCGAAGTCACAAACAGTGAGTACAAGTGATTGTATCAAGCAGTGTGCTTGCCATATGCCAGTTTGTCCCTCACAAATTGTAATTGAATTTGTTTGAAGTTTTTTATGAACGTATTTGACATGGTTACATGTGTCTAGGTCCTCTGCAAATCTTATCCATCAGAATTTACATCCTACTTCCACTATTGTCGGTCACTGAGGTTTGAAGATAAACCTGACTATTCGTATCTGAAGAGATTATTCCGAGACCTTTTCATCCGTGAAGGTTCGTTTAAAACTGTCGAAATCCTTGCCCTTGTATTAATGAATTCTTGATACACACAGGGTACATGTCGAAATCCTTTTATTACTCCATCAAGGGATTTAACTAACGGCATCACACTGGTCTTTGTTGCAGGATATCAATTTGACTATGTATTTGACTGGACTATACTGAAATATCCACAAATTGGCTCCAGTTCGAAACCACGAGTCTGTACTTTACTTGTTTAGATGCTTATATTATAGTTGACCAATGATGGAAAATAAAAGTGCATTGCTCCTAATATACTCTTCGATTGTTGCTTCTCTGCAGCCCAGTGGAAAACCAGGTCTCGCCCCAGGACCATCTGCTGAAAGAGGGGAAAAGCACCCAGGTCCGTTCCTTTACTCAGGAAGGATAGGATAATCTATAATTTGCTGAATTGGCTGTATTTTACCTCCTATAGCTAACCTGTGCTTGGAGAGAGGCTTTCTTACCGAACTTCATTTTTCCACGGCTCAGTTAGAACCTGTTTTTTTATTAATGATCTACATGCATACAAGGGACAGGGATTTGGTTGTGACAATAGGAGTGGGGAGAGAGAGGGAGAGAAAAAAAATCAGCTTGATCTTAGTTATCCTTGATTGTATAGCTTTTTGTATTAGTTCTTTTGTGTGGGGGTTATCTCTACCCCCGACCTTTAGGCTGTTGCCTTTCCATTTTTTATGAAATTGACTCTTACCGGAAAAAAAAAAATGTTGACAGTAAAAAACTCAAATGAAAGAATAGTAACCAGCTTTAATTATATGTAACATCAATACCCCATGAACTCAAATCAAATCAAAAAAATACCTGGTTAAGACAGCACAACGGACTAACAACGAAACCCAAAGCCAGCAATAGAGAGGCCAAATGGTGTAGTTCATTTTGGAGAATTGGGGTTTAAAACAATTGTCTTCTTTCAACTGATATGATATATATTTTTCTTTTGTTGGGAGAAACATTTTGGAGAATTGGGGTTTGAGAGCTCTCTCTTCATGTTATAGAGATTCCTAGCCAATTTATGCTACAAATGTTGAACTGATGAAATGGTAGTCTTTTGGAAAATTGATATATTATTTCCTATGCCATCTAGTGGGCCAAGATATTCGAGATAGATTCTCTGGTGGAACTGAGGCATTCGGAAGAAGGAACGCCAGTGGGCATGGTTTGCATGGTGATCATTCCAGACACAGATCATCTGATGATGTACCATCTTCCAAGGATGTGGTACTGTTCCAAGCACTAATCTTCAATTTTCGTTAATCTCAACAAACTTTTGTTTTGGTTACTATTCTTTTGGGCTTCTGTACAACTCTGCTGCTTCCTTCTTTTGATAAAATGACGTGTTTTTTCTCTCCCACCCCTCTCTCACAGCAACCTGATTCAGAAAGGGCCCGCAGTAGCTATAGGAATGGAAGCCTTTCGAAGAGGCCTGTTTTATCAAGCAGTCGACCAAGCTCCTCTGGGGAGCCAAGTGAAATCCGATCAAGTCGCCTGATGTCAGCAAGTAGTCGTCTATCTGCAGGCCAAAGGGTTCAACCTGGTTTTGAGACCAAAACGACTGCTCTTAACCGTTCTTCAACTACAAAAGGTGGCCGTGATGATACACTCCGGAGCTTTGAGCTGTTGTCTATTGGAACTGGCAAGAGGAAATGAGAAGGAAAAACAGATCTATCTGGGTAACTAGTGACCGTGTGAATGGTCAATATAGCACCCTATGTATCTTCTGTAAAATGCCCCAGCTCCTACGGTATTTTATATTGACTGAACATGTATATGTGTATCGATCATTAGTTTGGCTCGGTTCATCCACACTACAAAATTTAATGAAATCTCCACCGGAAACATTGGTTGGAAGCGAAACCTCCATGGATTTTCTTGGTTACAATGGTGCTTGTTTCGTTGTAGGAAGATGTTAATACATTTGAGACAGTTGTAATATACCTTCCAGGCGATGGAACCCTGCTGGAACTCAAATATGGTTTTTCCTGTCCTCTATTCATTTGTTTTGGCCATTTCCTTTCTCTTTTATTATATATGCAAATTTAATATTAGTTCTTATGTTTGCTTCTTGTAGTCGTTTTGCTCAATAATTGTTTTGACCATATATGATATGTATATGATTTTGATTTTAAACTCAAAAGAAAGAGAGAAAATTCTCTTGTTTATTCTTTTTTACTTACCAAGTGCTAAGATAACACAAAAACATCCATTTGTGGCGAAGCTGTGTTATTCAAAACTTGGCTTCCCCAATGCCCTTTATTATTCTTCTTCTTCTCTACCTCCTCTATTATTTGCATTTCTTTCCATCTCCATTCTCATTTCTGCCATGGCCTTCCTCCTTAAAGCTCCTCCGTCTTTCCCATGGAAGTCCTCCCCTTTTGATAAATCTAGCTGGAACCCATCTGGCCAAGGGATTCTTGGCTCTGAAACTCTTAATCACCATTGCACCATTTCTTGTCGAATGAGCTTGCTTCTTTTGGGACCAATTATTTCCATGGCCTAGCCTCTGCTTCTCGAAAACCCCAAATGACACTTTACGATTACATGACGATGCCGCCACCGTCTGTAAGAAGCAATTCCGGCGCACCGTCGACATGGCCCACTGGCTTCCGCTTCATCCGTTGTTGGCCCAACCACCGCCGACGGTATTAACGTTCAATAGAATCAGGTTTCGCCGTGGCAGCATCCACCCCAAGATGGGATTGATCTCAATAATGACTAGCTCTGGTGGTTCAGAAGACTTGGATTTGACTTTGTCTCTCTAAAGAAGTTTATGTTATTTTCTAAATAAAAGATTAAACGTAAATATATATAAATAAAAAATAATTATACATAATTTGATGCAGGTCATATAAACAGCCACATATTTTCAAGTTGAACTCAAAATTTAAAAATATTAAAACTACAACTACAACATTTCTTAAGTTTATAAATGGAGAAAGTAAGTGTTCTTCAAAGTATGTGTATGCATCCTAAGTATTTCCACATTGTTCTTCAAAATCACAAGTCACGATCGATATTGATCGATATTGTTCCACATTGTTGTGGAAAATGTCAATATTTAAGTATTTAAACTCAAATTTCGAGGAAAAAGAGCAAAAAGCACGGGTGTGAAAAAATTGAATAACAATCGATATTTTTTTGACATTGTCGAGGCAAATGTTCATGAAAAATTTCGAAGAAATATACCCTATAAGGAAGGAAGGCCCACAAAAACTCCAATCTCATCCCAATTCCCACAGGCCATCACCCCATGCATGTCAACGCGTCGCCGTTTCCCACCGTCCAACGCCTCTCCCGAAACCCTAACCCATTTCTCCGAAGAAGATGAACTCACCAGCAATTCTCAGCCCACTCTCGACTCTCCGGCCTTGGACCGCATCGAGACCGCTCTCCGCCCAAAATTCACCGACTCCCACATCGCCGATAAGCTCCACAGGCTCAAACTCCAGTACCATAAACTCGCAAGGACCAAACTATTTTTTCAAACTTTGACTTAAAATATCAAGTTTATAAACTCAAGAACCAAAAGCTACCAAATCTAAATCTCATGAACTAAAATATATTTCACCCTTACACCAAAGGGATCGTAATTACTATTGCTTTATTTCTATGCAATTAATTTATCATAAATCTCCAACTCAATCTAAATATAACTGATCTTTTTAGAACAATAATTGCAGGATAGAGAATCGAATTGAACCTTTTTTGTTGTTGTAAGAATTGAATTGAAGTCCACTCCAATTTGGTGGTCTTGTTTCCCCCCCTAAAGATAGAGGAGAAAAGGAGGGTATAATTCTATTATTAGAATATCTTCGTATCAATTTTCAGAGCTACACTCAAGGGTGTCCATACAATAATCTATCTAATTGAACAATGTCCGAAGACCACCACTTCAAGAAGTTTTCTTTTGTAATTAATTAACAACCAAGAAAGGTTTTCAAGTAACAGTTCGGAACTTTGAAGATTGGTTTAGGATTTTGGGGCTAAGAGGCAAGAATGTCCCTAGAGCAGCTCAAGAAGCAAGCGTTTTCTTTCCTTAATGAAAGATTCAAAGTAGCCAGGCTCGTCTTCACTGACGTTACCCACGCAGAATTGTAAGTATTCTTCCTTTAACATACAGATAAATGATCACATAATTTTAGAGGCTTCCATTCTCTGCCAATATCTAAAATGGCCGATCCTTCATAATAAAATTGACAAAGGTTTCATCATACAACTTTTAAACAGGAATGCACTTTTCTAATTCTTGTGAATACATATTTGAGATCATTCATTCATTCATCCATTCATTCATTCTAATTAGTGTGTACTTTCCTGTATTTTCCAAGGTTGGCAGAGGAAGCAACAAACAAGGATCCATGTACCCCTGATGCTAAAACAATGACAACCATAGCTGAGGCATCCTTTGAGATAGATGACTATTGGAGAATTGTTGATGTCCTTCACAATCGGTAAGCAAAATTGACACTGCTGGCCTATGTTTGGATGAATTTATAGGAGTAAATCTCCCATTTGAAATAATTCTCTAAATGTGACGGACCCAAAATCCTATCCCCATAAAAAAAAAAAAAAAAAAAAAAAAAAAAAAAAAAAAAAAAAAAAAAA